CCCCTCTGTGGAATTGCCTGTACTGGATGGTGCATGTCTAATAATACTAATTAATAAGCCTATTAATAACACTGGACTCATCATCACGCAGGTGACAGAAAACCAAATAAACTTCAGCAGGCCAGCAATGCAGCACGACTGTTGGGAAGGAGAGGAGACCACAAAGAATATTTGCAAGGGCCCTTGAGCAAAATGCTTTGGGTCCATAGCATTGGAGGCTGAATTTGAAATTTGCTCAAGAAAAAGGCTTGTGGGAACTTTAGTGACTAAGAAAATAGCATAACAGGGCAGGTTGGGAGACTAGAGAGCTTGACTTGACTGAACGCTGGCCAGGGGTTTAGCAGAATTGTCTCATGTCCAACTTCTAGTGCCTTGTTCTTGGCTTGAGAAGCCTCTGACATTCCCGTGGTTGGTTGGGGTAAAGCAGTGGGGACTCAAAAAGGAAGACCCATTTAATGGATGAACAAACTGAGACCACTGACCATTATCATTGTATTTCAAAGATTAATGAAATAATCAGCAAGTAAATAAAAGAATCTATGCAATAAGGCTAAACATCTCCCAGCAAACATGACCCCTGAAATTGACAAACAATCATTAGAGTGACAGGCATGACATGTTGAGTCTGTTTACCTGGGACTCTGATTTTATGGGCCTAGTCTTATTTACTGTATGTTTAACTGCATGTATCTCAGTGACTAACACAATAAAACCAACTTGCTTTGAGGATTAAATGAGATAATGCATTAGCGCATGCCAAGTGCTTACCTTAGTACTGGCAGATGGAAATAGTGCTGAGAGCTGAGCACCGATATGCCTTGACAGGGCCAGCTTTCAGGCTGATTGGTTGCTCCCTGGGCCATCTTGGATATTAAATACTTTAAATGCCATTCGGATAACAGTTATTGGCACTCTTTATTACTGTAAACTTGCCTTGTGCTGCTTACTATTATTCCTTGAAACAGTTCTCACAGGAAACAGTTGAGGATTATTGTTCTCATTTTATAGATGAGAACATGGAGCCTTGAAATGGTAGTAGCTTGGTGAAGTCTCATGGCCAGCAAATGAAGGAGCTCTGAACCCAGATGTCCTGTTTCAGAGATCTTGACCAAGATGATGTTAAGTAGAGGGCAAGGGTGACTTGTGTTTGAGGTTGTTCTTTTTACTGTTATTATCACACTCATAATGACTTTTGATTGGTAATGAAAAATTTCCTCGCTCCCTGCTGAAAACACTGGTCTGACATGTTTGAGAAAAGCTTAAACAGTCCCTGCTTTGTTTAGTTCTCCTTCTGAATTGGAAGATAGTCACTCAGTTGAGAGAAGGAAGGTAGGCCCACCGGAAAACCTTCTAACCTGATGCCCTCTGATCACAGCCCTTAGCCCAGCACAGAGATGAGAGAAGAGGCTTAGGGTCTTGAGGGCTTTTGTTATTGCCATTGAGTTTTTCCTTGAAAATAAACAAACAAACAAAACTCAATGCCATTGCTGATGTGCCACCACTATTGGACCACTGCCTGATGTTACCTTTTGCATACACCCATGTTTGAACCCATGTCTGTAAGGAGGACCATTTTATTCTCTTTGATGTTGTCTTCCTTTGCAATTTTGTACATCTCCATTGTCATAAATTCTGAGCTATCTGGGGGAATGCTGGATCGCTAGAATGAACAGAGTGGTAGTTAGCTAAAATGATATGGAGGGATGGCATAAAATGAGCTCAGAGATTTCATGATAAAAGGCAGACTAAAAGGATCCACTGGAGTAATTGAATGATAAATAACACTTAAGAAGCCTAAGAAAATACTAAATGGAATAAAATGATAATGACAAATAAACTCAAATATATAGGGTAAAGTAGGTTAGAAAACAAAGGGGTTAAAAACAAGTAAATGATAGTAATGACAGTGCTATCCTTATAAACATTAAAAGTCACCCAATGAACATGAGATAAAGAAATGCTAACTACAGGGAGAAGTCCAAAGTTAATAATCCCACGAAGAGGCAAATGCAGACCTTTGGACTGAGGTAGCAAGCATTTGTTAAGGACCTCCACGGGGCAGGTGTTCTACCAATGCTTTGTCACTTAGTTCTCCCAATGACTCTATGAGGTAAGCACAGGCGTCATCTCTGTTCCATAGGTGAGCACGCTGAGACTTGGAGTGGGGAAAAAAAGTGGTTCATGTGGTAGTTAAGGGACTGAACTCCCACATGGCTGACCATGGTTTGAGTCCTGGACTTGAGAGCTTGAAAATCATGCCAGGTGTATGTGCATGCATGCCCAAAATCCTAGGAGAAGAATGGAGGTGAAGAGATTGTGGTGTGGTCATCCCCCGTGGGTGTGGTTGCACAATTTCACTCTCAATGTCTCTCTCTTCCCTGGTGGACACATGTGCCCTATAACAAAAACCTTAAAATAAATAAACAAAGTGATCCAAATCATACAGGATATAGGTGGCCATGTTGGATTTGGAACTCAGGTGTATCTTTTAAGTTGCAGGCTCCGGCAGACACACAGCAGACTTCCTGCTGGGATAGCCTTCCTAGGCTGGTGTTTGCCAGAGGAATCTTGTGAGTTGACATCTGCAGAATAGTAAGGTCTCAGGCTCCCTCTTTGATCTTGTGCCCTTACACTCGTGGGCCCCCAGGTCTCTTCCTTTGCTCCCAAAGGTGAGCCAACAGTTGTCTTGGCATCTGCAATGGTTCTTCTACATGAATCTTCCCCCAGCAGCTCCAGATGTCTTGTGGAACCCTATGCAGTGTGCTTTGTGAACATTCCTTCCACATCCCAAGAACAAATAAAGTACATCAAGAAAGGCCAGGTGAGGACGATATATTAATAGATCTGGCAGTCAGGGCAGTTCAGATTTTGAGTAAACAGGTGCAAGGTCAGCTGTCATATATGAAATTAATCCATTAAGACATGTTTGTTTGTGTTCCCGTTATGTGCCAGATATTGTGGAAATGTTGAAGACTGAGGACCCAAAGAAACATAAGAAAATGAAATTATGATCTGAAAGGTAAGGCAGACTGGAAAGTAGACCTACAATGCTGCAGTTGTCTAACCTGGCCTAGCACAAATGCGATGTTAGCCCACCAAGCCTCCTTGATCTCCTCCAACTCCAGATCAGTTTGCAGTAATCACTTGTGTACTGGCAATTCCATAGAGCTTCTTTTACACCATTCTCATGGCTGTTATTTCCCCTTATTTTATAGGAGTACACCTCTGTCTTCCTCCAAAGGGAAGTGGAACAGGGGCTTTGATAGACACCTTTTGTTTTCTGTGAGCCAGTATCTGATACATGTACTATTAAAGTTCATTGGGCAAGGCATGACTAGGACACTGGGATACTACCTCATAAAGGGTAGAAATGTAAGATTTACTACCCCTGGAAGGAGGCAGTATCGTGCTGTGGCTAAGCAAGCAGACTCTGGAGTCAGAGCGACCTGAGCTCAAGTTCATCCTTAGCAATTTCCAATTGTGTGACTTTTTTTTTTTTTTGGAGAGGTTTTCGCTATAGGGCGTGTGCGCTCGCCAGACAGACAGATAGAGACATAGAGACAGAAAACGAGAAATCACCCCCCAGGAGGGATGGTCACGCCGCAATCCCTTCTCCTCCATTCTCCTCTTGGGATCTTGGGCACGCACGCACACGTGCCCAGCGTGAGTTTTAAGCCACCGGGTCCAGGACGCGAACCGCGGTCGACTACGTGGGAGTCCAGCGACATAGCCATTACGCTAAATGCTGTTTCCCCAGTTGTGTGACTTTTGACACCCTCTCTATAGCTTTGACTTTCTTAACTGTAAAATGGACTTCAACTGTCAAATAGTAGCAGCCTCACTGGACTGAATGACTCAAGTGTTGGTATGATGTAGGTGCTCCACAGCTATGTGGCTGTCCATGGTGCTGGTTCTGGTGCTGGGGCTGGCCCAAGGAAGAGCATGCCAGCCCAGACCTCCAAAAAGTGAAGTGGAGAAGAAAGGGGTCCGGAAGTGTCTTCCCCACTGTGAGGCATTGGGCCTGACATTGAACAAAACGTGAGTATTTGGTGTCACTGAAGGTCTTTCCTTGTTTAGGCTTAACTGGGGAAATATTTCCAGTCATGGCCCAGTTCATCAAGGCTGGTGATGGATTTTCAAGGGTATGGGGTGCCATGGAAGTGCCTAGACCCTGAGTTTGGGGTACAAGCCAGGAAAGAGAGCCATCTTCCTGATTAACCAAAGCACTTGATCCCTCTTCTGTCTCGCTTAGTTTGCAGTCCCTTGGGAAACAGTTGTTGTGTTTGGGTCTATCTTCACTTCCAGGGACCCACGGAGAAGTCTGATGTGTCACCTTTATCTCTCTGTTCCCAGCCTTTTGCACTGGGTCTCATCCTAAGGCATTCTAAGTGCTTCTTGAAGGAATGGATTTGTGTCCTAGTTACAGCCCTGACCCATGCCAGATGCTCAACTGTTGCCCTGATTTTGCAAGGAACTGCAATGACTAAGGGAAACTGAGGCACACTTGTAGGTTCGAGTCTTCTTCATTCCCTCAGTCTGCAGTGAGATGCATGTCTCCTCAGCAATGAGGAGGTGGTTCGGTCTGGTGAAGCTGTAAATGAAGATTTTGTCTTTATTTGATTTCCTACTCTAGTTCTAGGGGAGAACGCTCCTCTCAGGCTTGGCTGAGGGGAAAACTGAGCTCTGGACACTGCCTGGTGTTCATAGGGGGGCTGCACAATTCCTTTCCTTGATTCTATCTTCTCAGCTGTTTGCAAAACAGTCAGGGAGGAGGCGAAACCCTGAGCCAGGCAGCCTGGCTGTCTCTTTAAATGCCGGGGTCTGTGTGGGAGAGGGAGGGGCTGACTCTGGAGTGCGTGAAATTCCTGGGCTCCTCCGGCAGTCTCAGGCTCAGAGCTCAGCTCTACACGTCTCCTCTTGCATGCAACTCACTGAGAGGGAGAGGCAGCGTGTCCTCCCCTCTCGCACCGGCGAGGCCAGCCACCAAGGACCTGCTTTCACACCTCTAACACCCCTCCCTGCTTCCCTGCCACTCCCTCCCTGAGAGAGAGAGAGAAAGAAAAAGGAGAAAGATTCTGGAATTTGAACCTTCAAAAGAGGAAACATACCCAGCAAACTCAGTTGATTAAACATCAAACAAACAGATCCCAAATCTTCTGTTCAACTGGAAAGGTAAGATTTGCGGGGGGGAAAGGAAGGCCAGCAGGATGCGAAACAACTCAACATTCTTGTCCGTTCAGGGAAGAGGTGGCTCCTGAGAGGGTAGAAGTTTTCAGCTGGGAGCGACCAACCTAGATTTTTTTTTTTTTTTTGAACGCTTGACTCGGTCAGCACATCGGAATAGTCTCAGCTGGCCGTGGGAATGGCCTTTCAGCTCTATTTTCCTTCAGTTTCTCCTGGAAGTTGGGTTCTTTTGCTCCAGATGTTGGAAAAGTCAGAGAATGTTTCAGATTTTATCTTTTTTTTTTTTTTTTAAATCTTTCTATTTGCTTGGATTGTTAGTCTGAAATAATATGTGCCATCACTTCATTTTGGGTAGATACTTTATTTGACATTTTGTAGCCACTCCCCCCTCCTCCTTTTTACCCCTGGGGAAGGAGTTGGTTAAAATGAGAAAGAGAAGGGGTGCTCTGAAGATCTTAAGAAGACAAAATTGAATTCAGACAGGGATTTCCCTAGCTGTTGAGGAATTGAGGTGTGTGTGTGTGAGTGTGTGAATTTCTTTTTTATTCTTTGAGGGGGTGTGAGGAGGTGGTTCTTGAGTCCAAAAATTCAGGCTGGACTCTTGCTATCTTGTTGTGGAGGTGGGCATACCTGGAGAAGGTGAAAAGGGAGCGTGTGTTTGTGTGTGCCTGTGTGTGTGTGTGTTCCTGTTTGGATCAGTTACAGGGGAATCTTCCTCCTCTGCCTTCCATTTGTTTATATTAATGATTTAGTAGCAGGCTTGCCTGAAAACTTCCACTCTGTGTAAGCACTGTGGGTTTTGCAAGCTCTCAGTGACCTTAAAGGCTAGTTCGATGTATTGTTTTCTCAAGGCATTGTGTAGTACCCAGAGTTTCAGCTCTTTCCATCTCTCTTTTTTAAACACACAACTTAACTGCTTTAG